TAATGAATTATTTCTTTCTTAACTGTGGTATTCATACCAAATGAGTTTCATGTTCATACCAATTGGCTCTATCTCTACCTAGTGCTTATTCTTGTGGTTTCATGAACCAATAAAGTTTTTTATCCTTCTTCCGAGAATGAGAAGAAGTGATTTTGCTTACTATGAAGTTTGTTTCGTGCTCACGGAATCATTGCTAATAGTCATTGACGAGGGTAATGGGTTAAGTTCGAGGACCCTTTCTTTATCCCGCATATGCCTGATACAGTACTCGCCATAAGAACTCGAAAATTCACGCGAGTACCGCAAATTTGTCTTTTTCGCCTTTTTTCCATAAATCGTTTCAAAATAGAGTAATCTAGGAGATAGGGATACCGTTAAACTCAGCTCGTCGAGCTCTACAAGATGATACCCAAAAATGTTGAAAATGCTTTATTTTGGATTGGGCCGTGCAATTGAGCTCCATCAGAAAAGTGATTGCATGCGCATGAAGTGCACGCTTTAGTGCTTGTAGGGGTTCCATGGTCCCCGAAGATGATCTGTTCAGAATTCGCTTGGAATTGCGCCACGCACTCGATTTTACTCAGTACAAGATGTGAAAATGATTATTGGTTTTGTTCAGTGCCCATTGTTCCTTTTTTGGTTTCAAGGCTGTAGATAGGTGCATCTATGGTTTCTGCACTCAAAACTCCTCTTTGCAGGTTCCATAGAGAATATGACACCAATTTACGGCAAAATAACGGAGTCGATTTTTTTGGCATTTTCCCATTTTCGGAGGAATTTTTCTACGAAATCTGAGAAGGTGGTGTTGAGGCACTCCACTGTCGTAGACATCTCTTTATTTTCTGCAAGTCTGTAATGACACACCCTATCACAAATCAAAATTTCTCCCCTGGTATGGCCCCAAACTTCGAACTTCGTCAAGCCCAAATCATAAAACAATGTTTTTTCGCTTTCCGTCGGCCTTTTTGTAACTGAATTATAAATTGTTGGATTCCCCGTAAAAAATGCTATCGAATGATATATAGGTCAATCCGTTACGAAAACCTCCTTCTACAACCACTTTCCGCAGTGAGCCTGTCTCGAGCGCTTTTCCTGCAGGGCGTGTTTGGATACTGCAGTGGCCGGGGTACTGTAGTGGCGGGAATTTAGAGGCTTTCGAATGATAATTATTTGAATGGGGGATTAGATCTGCTGGTGGCGGGGTACTTAAGTGGCGAGAAGGGGGTTAGATCGATTAATGATTACTTCAATGGGGGGTAAGATCTGCAGGGGACGGGGTACTGTAATGGCGGGAATAATGGGCAGTTTGAATGGAAGTTTTGAGACGGTCTGAAGGAGCGGTTTCCATCGTTCATTTATAATGTGTAGACTGTAGATAAGTGCATCTACGGTCTTTCTGCACTGATGACTTTTCCTTACAGTTTCCATTGAGAATACGACATCAATTTTTGGCAAAATAACGAAGTCGATTTTTTGGCATTTTCCCATATTTGGAGGAATTTTTCTCCGGAACATGAGGAGGAGGTAGCGAGGCAATCCGCTATTGTAGGCTACTCTTTGTGTTCTTCGAGGCTGCTATGGGATACCTTATCAAAGATCAACGGTTCTCTCCTGGTATGGCTCCAAACTTCGAACTTCGTCAAGCCCAAATCAAATTTTTTTCTATTTCCGCTGGGGGAAGAAACGATCAGTAGATAGAACTTTTCACGGAGAATCTAGAAGTATGCAATTTAATTGCAAAAAGTTGAGCGGCAAGGGCAAAAAGCATAATTTTGCAATTCAGGCGTGACGGCAAGCGAAGTTTGGAGCCAGACCAAGAGCGAACTGTTGATCTTTGATAAGGTATCCCATAGCAGCCTCGAAGAACACAAAGAGTAGCCTACAATAGCGGATTGCCTCGCTACCTCCTCCTCATGTTCCGGAGAAAAATTCCTCCAAATATGGGAAAATGCCAAAAAATCGACTTCGTTATTTTGCCAAAAATTGATGTCGTATTCTCAATGGAAACTGTAAGGAAAAGTCATCAGTGCAGAAAGACCGTAGATGCACTTATCTACAGTCTACACATTATAAATGAACGATGGAAACCGCTCCTTCAGACCGTCTCAAAACTTCCATTCAAACTGCCCATTATTCCC